CGAGGATCACCTGGAATTAAAAACAACCGTCACCCGAGACCGAAGTCATAATCGTCAATACAAACGTCAAGAAATTTCTATTGTGCAGAGCTGAGACTTAGAGAACTACTACAATCAATATGAAAAGTGTACAGGTTTTTATAAACAGCTATCTACGCAAGATATTCGGCGTCCATTGACCATCAGCAAGAACCTACTGTGGCAGGGAACAAACCAGTTCCGACTGAAGAGGAAAGTAGGAAAAGTCACTGGAAGTGGATGGAACACACATTAAAGAAATCATCAAACTGCATTGCGAGGCAAGCACTAACTTGGAATTTCGAAGGGAAAAGAAAAAGAGGAAGACCAAGGTACACATTACGTTGAGAATCGGAAGCAAACATCAAAAGAATGAATAGCAACTGGAAAGTATTGCTCAGGACGGAGTTTGATAGAGAATGGTAGTCGGTTGCGCATGCTCCTCAGCGAGGTTTAACAGGCGTAAGGAAGTAATATTTGTTTGTATATGATTATAAAAAAGTTAAAAAAGCTTCTGTGTTTTCATGATCAATTTTTGTATAACTTTTTCAACCTGTGTTACTTTATTGCTACGTTCAAATACCTACTATGGTTCATATTTATCAATGGTTTCATTGCTCTTTGTCTCCATATTGCCTGCATTTATATACCTCTTTTGTTTATCTTGTAGCTTTCCTTTCACTTCTGATATGATCGGATCTGCGTTATCTTTATCACTAATTGGTCATTCACAAGTAAGTTAGAAATTAAATCTGTCATCCATTATCTATATGATGGAAGTTTTATTCAATTACTTTGTTGAAATTTGTTGAGTGAGTTTTGCAATAAGTATTTCTATTTGTTTATATGTTAGAGTTAAATAATAACATAACAAGCTGTATCCATCACTGACAGGATTTTTGAAGAAACATTTATTAAAAAAGACAGCTGTCAGTTTAACTATCTTCGAAAAAGACGGAGTTATGTTCTGTGATCAGCTCAGAAGATTGTAACAATATGTTGAATACTTCAATAAGGAACTCAGCTAATATCCGGCTACCTTACGATTTCCAAAAATCATGAATATCGAATCGAAATAAGCTTTCGATTAGGGAGAATCAGGTTGTTTTCAGACCATCGCTTAGATGTATCAATCAAATACTCACTCTTCGCAAATGCATACTTACTGGTGGTCTGCTATAGTTACATTTTTGAACTGAAGGCGGATTTGGACTACGTAGACTGAGAGGTTTTGTGGCAGTTTATCGTTGAAAGGTGTACCAAAAGAACACACTCATTCTTCGCGAATTCTATTTTTCGTATGATCTTTTTGTTGTAACGGGTGGATTGCAGTTTAGATGGAGCAGTGTTTTATTGATCGATTCAGTGACACGGAAAACACGTTTGGACGACCTAGAGACCCGATTGGCCCTGCTCCGCTGTCTATCCCAGCCAGTTGAGTCCAGAACGCAAGTCTTAGCCTCCGAGATATGAATCATTATATTTCAGACATACTCTTTATATACCAAACAAACAAACCACATCGTACCATAAAATAGAAAACATTTACACAATATTTAACAAGTGAAACAAATATCGACCAATAGGGAGTGTCCATTTAAAGTCCAAGGTCACCGTTAGACTTAACATGATAATTATTGGTATATTCCTCTGCATACCTAACACTTTTTTGCTTCTTCGATACTACCCTTATGATGTTGCCAAAAAATAATGGACATAAAATTTTACTATCGTTATGGTAAACACAATCAACAGTCCTATTTATCCAGTTACCTTTTCGGTTGGCACTATATGACCATCATTTGGGGCTACTATAACACATTTCCCAAATCTTCCAGTTCCTATTAATAACAACTTTTCCTTCGACTGTACACTTCAGGGGAACGTTTCGTTCGTGTAGCCACCTAACTTGAACTTAGCATACAAATACTGACACAACTCGAAACGGCATGTTTCTTACCATGTTGTGGAGTGAAACAGATAAATATACCTATATGTAAAGGATTATTAACTTAAAACTTCTACACAACTTTTCCGTAGAGATTGGAGTTTATATCCAATAAAATCTAATCTTTTACTTGTACATAGTTTCATTTCTTCTAATTTCTTTTAGGATTTAACGACTGCCCGTCATTTAACTCGAAATAGTACCATAAATATTCCTACTAGGTTGATTCCATCTGAGAGCGTTGCTCCCAGCGAAACTGATAATACGTCGAGATTGAATGTTTTGGATGATCATACGGCTATGGATGCTGGGTTTTTAAGTGTTACTCCTAATACTCCCGCAGTAAACCGTCTTCTTCATGAACCAATAGAGGAGGAAGATGAAGAACGTGAAGATGACGATCAGTCTTATAGCAGGTCAAAAACAACGATGATAATATAAATCTTGTAAGCTTACATTAATAAATAAGACCTGATATTTGTGTCATCTTATTAATAAGGTATTTATGTTTTACATGTTTCACTCGAAATCTTGCCTGTAATCTCATGATGTAATTCTTATCTTATTGTGCTTAACTGATCGAATATTTACGTAATATGAACGTTTATGCTATTCAGTATTTAGGTTATGATTACAGAAAAACATACACGTAGCTTATATCTATGGGCTTTCAGCTGTCTAGACATTGTAACAATCCTATTATTATATTTATTATAGCCAATGGGTTTTTTTTATCAACCTCATAAATTACGTTCATACCTGATTCAAATGAAAACATTATACTGACCAACTGTACTCATTGAAAGAATGACAGTGCGTCAGTTGTTTATTCCTGAAATACTTAGTTTAAACGCCAGTTCGCTCATGGAAAAAGGATTACTTCCAATCTCTTCTGTATTTAAATACATGTCACAATTCTGGCATAATTAATCATCTGTCAAATACGAGTTTACTGTGCAGTAATTCGCTTTGCCCCACTTTATGGGTGTGAAATATGGCCATTAAGAATATACAACTTTAGTGGGTCACTAGTATCCGATCATGGGTGTCTCAAAGCATTGCTCGTGTGTTTTGGGATCACCGAGCGAGCAGTTCAAAGAATAAGTACAGAGTACTATGTAAAGGTGGCGAATCTGTTGATGAGTTAGTGAATCTTCATTCACTGATGTAGTTGGGACATGGGTTACATATGTATATCCCTCCTCCTCTACGCGCGACATTGTCTGGTGTCAATTCTTGTTATTCACCTTATTATTCCTAAGAAAACGACTTGGATTGAATGCAGATATATTCCAAAATGAAATAGAAAGTCAATTAAGTTATAATCCAGAGTCCTCAGCTCATTCGCTAGCGCTGATTAATTCATTTTCATTGAAAATTAGGATAAGTCACGTGCACATTACCTGGTTGGGGCCCGCGTGATTATCGTCATAAGTGGCTAGAGACTTTGGCTGGCATAGCTGAAAATCGTTCTCAATAGTTCAATTAATATGACGGGTAGTTTGAAATATTTCCCCCTTCATGTATACTACGATAACGAGAATAGTCATTTTATATCAGATCCGGGATTAACGACCCAGAATAGGAAATCAGATTATCACTAGATAGTACTTTATTTGACACAGTTACAAATAGTCACACTCAGTGAGTTCGGAGAAGAAATCGATAACAGGGAAGTAATTTTATCTCGCCGTGTTAGTGCGGTTCGGCAACTTGAATAGATGCTCATGTTTCACATCCCAATTCAGAAGCCTATTGTTCAGTACCGTCTCAATGCTATCTTTTAGTGCAAGACAAAAGTTCACATTCGACTCAGTAGTTTAAGCGCTCAGCTTTCAACTGCTAACTAGCAAGTTTAAGTCCCTCTTCAATAAATGTCTTAATAGATCTCTCTAAAAGTACGTAACGTAGGTATATAATTGGTGGTTACTTTGAGAAACAACAAAATATGTTAATTTCCTGTCACTGTGTTAATCTAAGACATGCGAACTTAGATCGATACATACGCCAGGATCTGCGTTGATAAATGACTGGTTTGGTTCCCTCTTTATTTTAAATTCGGAATCGGAGAGAAACAAATCGTCCTTATCTGATAGTTCTTGGTAGATATCGTACTTGAGGTAATATTTATCACAGTATGAAGTACGCTAAGAAGCAAGCAGTTACTTTATTTCCAGTAGTTAATCCGCATCCACGATGTCTGGCTTACATGTTAGTGTTTTCTGTAGATTTTTTTGATTACACACCTGTTGATGTTTTTCATAATTGCAACAGCCTTCAGTCAACCTACACTCCATAGTTATAACATATATTATACACAGATTAGTAATGCATTTTGTATATCCCTTTATTAGTAAATGTAAAGTAAATTTGCTTTTCGATTAAGAACAAGTGACGAACTGATATTCCGGCTTTTTTATCGTTGAAGCGAGTCCTGTTGATCGCTCTCTTAAAACGTATTAGTTACGCCGTTCATTTCACACAATTATACACGAGGTATTTTTGTCACAAACACTAATTATTCATTAGCTAGCATTGTTTGGTTTGCTCGTTACTGACGTTTGTCCTATTACTGTAAGTGTATTTTTGTTTATAAACTCTTATAGCAAAAATGTTTTTGTCTATTCGTTTTCAGTCCTCTCAAAAAAGATATTTTGCATGTTTAGGAAATTGTACACTTTGTCTACGAGAGGGGGGATATGATATTTATTGTATTCGGGTTTTCTTCATATTTATGGCAAGTTTATTATTAATCAGGATGCTGACCAACTGCGCATTCATGTAGTCCATGTTTTATATCAATTGCAATTCTGACATTTGTTCATAAAGTTGAATTTTCTGCAACATACTCAATGTTCTCAGCTAAGATATAGATATCAGGCTTTAACAGCCTTAATTCGAATACACAGATACTTAATTAGAATGAATAACCTCTACACAGCTTATGCATGTGTGTTTCTGAAAGCTTTGCTGATCACATCACTAAATCCACAAAAGAAACAATCAAATGACTTGACTAATTCTCAAAATGCACGTAACAATACATGGATTACCTTTTTACAACCGATTTGGACTAGTGAGGTGAATATCAATTACATGTGCAAACGTGATAAATTTCAGAAAGCATTTGTATTCATACCTAAATAATTCGATTCGCATAAGGTTCATAAGATTCATTCTGTGATCTATCTTCTTAAAATCACAAAATAACGTTTACTTTTTTCAGGTACGATTGTATTTGACAATAGTACATGAGTTGTGTCCAAATGTGACCTCAAATTTACTACTTATGAATAGAATATATTTTGTAGTATAATAATGGAATCCTCTGAGAGTATTCAGAGCGCAAGGATGTATTACCTGATAATTTATGTTCTCGAAGTATTATAAGGTTCTCTGAATGCAAGGTTTATGCTGTAACTTTCTCGAAGTGAAAAAGACTCGTTCAAATGAAGAACATTGTATATGCTAATTATATTAGCATATATCTATCTATTCAGTAACTCAGAGTACATATTTAGGCAGCAGAACAAGTTTAATTGTGATACTTTATCAACCTCAATAACAAAGATAACACGAAATTATTATGCAAATTCATCAGAGTCAATTAGTCGTGTTTGCAACGAAATGGTAAAACAATAGCATTAGTTTCTTATATGTTTTACTAACCAGAAAGTCAGATGGAATGCTGAGAACTGACCTACTTAGGCTAATATACTTATTTTTAGAGTCTTTTCCCATTGCAATCAAAAGGAAATTAAGTGCTTAGTTAATTGTTTTAAAGATGTCATTGAGATAGAAGTTAAGACTATATATTTCAAAACAATACATACCTGAAGGAAAAACTAGTATGTGTTGGCAGCGACAAGAAGCCTTTTTTTTAAACGCACAGTGAAATCGCGAGGTCTAAGATACGCGTTGAGAAAAGCATTCAATTCTGTAAGGCGGCTCACTCGTTGTTTAGTTATTCAATTTGAATTTAGTAAAATGTAGATATGGATAATATATATTTTACTTATATTTCAAAAAGCAGGAAAGTTGTATCGCTACTCAGTTGAATATAACAAAAATTTATTTATTATTAACTCTTTACCCTATGCTCAATTCATTTGAAACTATCAAGCCCAACCTTGGTAAGGATACCTATTAGATAGGGATGTTTTGTCATCTCGATATGCATATATCAGTCCAACTGTCCTTATGGATATCTAGTGAGAGCAATCCATCACCCCTCACAGTTGTGTGCATGACAAAGCACAGTAAGGTGCACTACAATGCACTCTTAGTCAATGCTGTACATCACATTCCGTGTAATATTCCGAGTTTGATGTCAAATCCTAATTAGCTTTCCCTATCTCCAGATGTTGGCTCCTGTACAACGAATGTCATAGGAATGTTTGGATAACGTTTGCACGATTTTTCATCTTTTTTGCTATGTAACGATAACAGATTGTTAATCCAAAGTTAGACCCACATTTACTGACTTTCGTCTTGATTATTACTACATGATTTTGAGTAGCTACACTGTTCCTCCATCTTTATTCAAGCGTAATCATTACCGATTACTAAGTGGTCTCTAAGTACGAACTCCCACCCACTTGCTTTGCACCTTCATTTTCATTGTATCAGTTCCTTCCTAGTTATTATGTTCATCTTTTGATATTGATTTTATAGTCAAAAGTAAATGTGTATTGGTGTCGGATCATGATGAAGAGCTAAGTAAAAAAACTCCGAAATCGTAATTTCTATTTCCAAGATTTAAAGAAAAATAACCCACAATCCCGTAGTATTTAGTTATAGCATCAAAAGTGTAGCCCATGCTAAGTAGGATCAGTACTCAATTCGCCTGACAATGATTACCCAATTTTTTCCGAATAAAAACTTCAATTACTACAAGGCCATATTGCCACCAAAACCAGAAAATGACGATCATGTTGATCAGAAAACTTGACAAAACCTAAATGAGACATCACAAATAAAAGAGTGAGCGTATTTCTCGAATTCTGAAACGAGCGGTATTTTTTGGCAAGTATCCACTTCCCGAAACATCTTAACCCCTGAGTATCAGACACTTGCCGGTTCATAACCATTAGCACGGTAAGATTATACAACTTTTCGAAAAGCATCGTGATACATTCTTCCCACGCTAAACAGGGATGCGAAATATCTACACGTGTATTTACATTACAGGAGGCGACAATACTAGTTATTTTATATGGACGCGGCCAAATATCTGGTACACTGAACATCTCTTTCGTTGAGTATTTTTTAGGATAGCTTCAAAGGCTAGTCGGTAAGCTTGCAACGGTTTGAATGAGACATTATTCACATGCGATAGGGGAATACTTGTTATTCATCTAATAATAGCCTATAATTAAATAGGATTGACCGTAGGTAGGATTATGCTTCAACATAACTGTCTTTTTGGAAGCAACTATTAAGAGAATTTAAACAGCTTTTAGACTTATTAAGGTTTCTCTTATTTTTAAAGGCCAATCAGAAGGTCCCTAAGTATCGGTTAGTTTAGGCAGTTTCTTACATTTACTGCCTTTTTAGATTGTCAGGTACCACCAGTCCGTAATCCCAGGGTGAAAAGATAAGAAATTGTTACAATGTTTTATTTAAAATCACTAGGACATCTGTAAGCAAAACATAACTAAAATGATATTTCATTTAGCTTGCGATGTATACTGTCTAGGTCTTTAAAATAACGAACAGTTTTTGTGCGGAGTTCCATTGTCGCATCTTCATCAACAACAAATATAGCTTTCTTATGATGCTTAAGAAGTGATTAGTCCATTAAAATAGAAATAGCTTACCTGGAAAGCAGATACTGTCCACATATGATTTACTCCCTCTTCGATTGCTTTCTGCAATGCTAATGCTTTAGAAGTCCCAGTGACTAGAATCATAACCTCATTAGCATCCATTACCGTTCCAACTCCCACTGTCAAGCAACGCTCAGGAACCTGATATTGTAAATAAGAATATCAGTCAGCTTCAATTAATGGAAAATTTAGTTTACAGCTTAAATACCGGCTTGTGACAGTCAGTTATCTACTATGCATGTGAATGTACTTTATTGCATTTACATTTTATTTTGCATTAATTTGGATAATTACTATCCTAATACACATTACTCTTATACGAGATAACTCACTGTAAATAAATACGCAACCACAAACTGGTGTTGTCTGACGTCCTCTACGGATTTAAGGAATCATAAAAAGCCACTAACATTTATGTGTACAGATACTTCAGCGACCAAAGTAATGACGTAGTATATCTGAAGTTCAGTGTTAGCTGATGTTTACTGTAGGCAATTATGTGAGACTTGTGGCAGGTTCTTTGTAAAGTAACTTTTCGTTGTCCTGTGCTGTGGATCGTTTCACTTTTTCGGTCCGTAAAATGGAATAAAAGACTTAAGTCGGCGAGTGCAGTCGTCAGTAACTGTTGACTACTTCGCAGGCATCTTGATTAGTTTTTAATTCATACGGTTATAAGTAATCGTTGGCTGAATTACAGAATTTCTGTGATACCAACATATGGATGAGTGGGAATTGTAACTTGTACGGCGATGTTTGTTTCTAGACCTGCTTCGAGAAGCCTATCGCAGAAGTTGACTTAAGAGGAAACCGATTTGGAAAACAGAAATAAAGGTGTCTTGTGACATGGTAAGGATAATAAATATAGTGTTTCTGATACACGGAATCTGATAGGAACATACGAAACTGAGGGAAGACAAAAAATGGATACACCTGCACCATTGAAAACAATTTTCAGCCATGTTATCCAAAGTCTGTTACCATCGGTTACGATAATCACGCGGACCTCCAACAGGTGGTCTACAACCATTAAAATGGCTAAATCCAATTGTTTGTGACTTCATAGACTGATGACATACTTTAGTTTGGCCACCACTAGCTTGCTTTCAGCCTACTCTTACACCAGAAGACCACCTATCGAGGTAGGCAGAGGTCAAGCATACATAACACCTGTCTCAACCACCTCAGTTAGTGAAGATTTACTACCTTACCAATCGATTTCCCATTTCTACCTAGTACTCTACTCCTAACCCAGGTATTGCTTACTCCGTGGTCACAAAATACACCGGAAGTACTTTGTAAACACCTATGATCGAATATAAGTAACCTACGAATATCCCCAACACTTAATAGCCATGTTTCACATCCATTAAGCAGAATGAAGCGAATTGCTGCGTAGCAAACGGACGAACATCTCGCCTACATAACAGGTTGGTAAAAGTCAATCGAGCCCTCTGAATGCTTGCTGAGATTTCGTCAGACATCGGCATTGATGAGATTCCCAAGATAATTGAAGTGGTCGATATGCCCAACTACTTTATTCCCTATCACTAATTCAGGGGGCGACATAAGCCAATCCTGAAGTAACATTTTACATCTGGAGGGAGAGAACCGCACCCCAAAAATGCTTGCATTGTCGCTCAAGGTGGTCACAAGACTGCATTTTGTCAACGTGTTCACAAAACAGAACTATATCATCAGAATATTCCAAGGCAACAAGACAATCTCATTGTACAAGATCAATCCCTGAAAAGTTAGATGATGAAAGTGTTATTTCAAGAAGCATGCTTATGACAAAGTTGAATGATGTTCATGAGAAAATGAGAAATCAGTGGGTGGTGAAATTTGTGGATCATTTGACAGTTAGCATGCATTATTTTGCTGAGGGTTGAGTGGAAAACCTTTATCCTCATGATAAATACATTATTAATGAATAAAATCAAAGTGGTTGTTAGATATATTTTGTTGGTGATTTATGAATTTATAACATTAAGGCCTTATTATCAGACTTATAACTTATTATCTATTATATCGGTCCCTGAAACAGGTATTAGGCACTTTTATATTTCATTTTAACCTAGTTCAATAGAACCTGGTAAAGCTACAGTTACAAAATATTCCCGAAGCAACCTCAAAAAGACCAGTGGAAAGTAAAAGTTTTGTACAACTTTCCGTAGCTTATACTCGGATGTCAAAAAACATTTAGGTGTTTAACTAGGCGATTCAACAATCTGATAGTGTCTTGGAAACAAACAAGATATCTTTCCACTTTAAAAGCCGTAACATCACCGTTTGTCCGTGTGTTTTAAATAGGAGAGAGACTAACGTGGAAATCTCGTCACTCTTACCACTTCCTTTTTGATTCCCATTTACCTTTTCTCATTTCAAATGTTTTTTTATTCCTGTGACAACAGACCGCAACGAGGGACATGAGAGAACCCAGGGTGCAGTGTGTATGCAAGAACTAACAATCATTCATGATCTAAAATAATAGTCAAATAAGGTAAGGAAATTTCACTGTCACTAAAGTTACCTCGGCCTTAACTACGCAGTCTATAGCTTATAAAATTCATCTCTGAGATCTAGAAATTTGGCACACCGGCCATGTTGGCGCAAAACAATGAAGATAAAATCCAATGGAAATGAAGAAGGGGCGCTTCTTCACTGAATCCACAGAAGAAATCACCTTGACGCAACTAAATTTTCAGGGGTCAGAAAGTACCTTTGTTGTTCCTTTACGTACGTCAACTACGGCTCTAATGGTACATACAGTTCTGCTTTGGATTCCATATTCAGGAAAGCAGATTACTGATTATTTGCCACAGCTGTTTACTGAAAAGTTATATTTTGGTCAAGACAAATTTAATTCGTGATCTGCTCCGTTTGCTTATTTATTTATTTGAACATATAAATATTGGTACAAATCGGCACCGAATACATATGAGCCACGCAAGTCACTTGATTTGTGTGTGGACTGTGATACTGACTGGGTGCTCAGACCGAAGAAGGTGGTTTTTTAAGGGGTGGGCACACCTGGAGCCTTAGACCCAATGGTCTGATCCATAAGGCAGTGGAGCAACATCAGGAAACGCAGTCCCATGGTAGCCGGTAACCAATAATTGGTTCATACGCCATTTGTTCCCTCAAGATCCTGGAGTTCATGTGCACTATTGGTTTGGAATCAGGGGTTTCCAAGTCCCCTAGGTGGAACCTCCATTTCCACCAACCCGGTTAAAGCGCCGGGCATCTGATTTCCGTCCTCTTAATTTCGTAAAGAACATCCCCGCTGTGAGAAGGCAATGAGTGGGACTTCCCTAGCAGTGGTTTTATACGCACGGCCATGTGCGAGCATTTCGAGAGGGAGAGCTGACTCTCCCCGCCCTCGACCGTACCAGGCCATTCAGGGCCATGTAATGTGATGGAAACTTTGTTCGGTTATATAGAATAGAATCCAAACCATTACAAATTATTTTTCGGTTAGAATTGTCAAGCCACTAACTGTTTTGGTTTAACAAAATATTTATAAGAACTAATTTCATAGTGATAAAGATCACTTAAAGACAAACTGATAGTAACTCGCCATTCAAGTGACTCCTACTTGATAACACAACCCAAAATGAAGTGAAGGGACGTCATAAATTTTTTTTAAACCGGTAGTTCGAACAGACCTATTTACTTATATAGAGACAGTGACTTACCGACAGTTTTTTTATCGGGGGGTACAAGTGACTGGTAATAACTGCTGTCTTCCTTATCACTATATATACTTAAAGTTATCGGTAATCAACACGGCTATAATTGAAATGAACAGTATAGATATGTACAACAGGCGAGAAGACCATTTATTACATGCAAAATAAGTGCTGGATGGCAAAATCAGAATGAGTCATGTTAATGGAATTACGATCACTAATTACACTTCATTTTAGTTTCCGTTTGTTCGATACTTAATATCGGTCAGAAACACAGGTCAGCCTATAAGCGATCCAAGCAAAAGCATGTGATAACTAAATTTAAGGGCTATTGAATGTTTCACTGAATAACAATGTATCTCCAAGGGATAGTAGAATTATGCCAAGGAGAGCCTTTACAACTATACCTGGAAAAATCATACTGAAATAAGTCCTTAGTTCTCGGAAGTAAAATTGTGACCAAGGAACACATGACGTCGAGAATCGGAATCAAACATCAAAAAATGATTACCAACTGGAAGAGATTGCCCAGGACGGAGAATGCTGGTGGGCTGCCTATACTTCACAAGAGGTATCAAGAGCAAGTAAAATGACCTATGAAGAACTTAAGTGAAAATATTGTTGTTTGGTATAATTCTATATATTACTAATACGATCGTGCGTTTTCTGTACTGTTTTTTGGTCAGATGTATAGTTTATTTTTGGTAGCTGTTTTTGTTTACTACTCTCAAATTTTAACATGAAATAAAATGATGTTCATAGAGTTTTTGAATTTTACTACCTGAGACATGTTATCTCCAAAAAATCTAGCATTAGCTACAATAGTCTCCTTTGCCAGTGTTTTGACACGTGTGCGAGATACTAAGCTAGAACCTGGCTCGTTAAAGGCGATATGACCATCCGGGCCTATTCCACCAACAAACAAGTGAATACCTCCAGCTTTCTTTATCTCCATTTCAAACATTTCGCATTCGGCCTCTGGATCATTAGTTGTTCCATTGAGTATATGCACATTTTTCGGATCTATATCTATATGCTGATAAAATTTAAACATCGTTACTGATAATTATTGAAAAAAGCCACATATACATATTTAGAAAAGTGTATAAGCCACAAAAGTGAGGCACCGAAAGAAATGACCGGTGGAGCAATATTTATACTAAACATATTTCTCTGATAAGATGAAGGTAAATTAAACGCTATTAGGTGAAAAATTCTATTCCTCGAAACTTTTTTAGCCTGTTCTATTTTACAGCAAATTTGAAATTATTGCTTGAAACATTAAATTGGTTATACTGAACAGATCAATGCACTTAATACGCTATAAAACCACAGACCATTTTGAAACTTCTGATTAATCAGTAGGATAACTTGGACATTGTCTGAAAATAAAAGATTGGATTATGGGATCTCCGAAGTCTAGACGAACTTTAAAGCTGCATAAGAGTAGTAACAATTCAACTCGAGCATTTAATTAGAAAGGGGTTTTGAGAGGATTGTAGTAATTTAATAGTTAAATTCATGAGTCAATTAAAGCTAGACCACCAAAGAAAACCTGGAAGCGAGACCGAAGGTCTCGGGTTCGAATCCCGCGAGCGGGATCGTGGATGAGCACTGCTGAGGAGTCCAATACCAGGACGAAACGACCATCCAGTGCCTCCAGCTTTTCCATGGTGGTTCAGCTTTAATTGACTTATGAATTCAACTATTAAATTTCGAGCATTTTAACCCTCCAAAAACAATATGTACTGCGTTTGTTTGTATCTGTAGTCACTGCTAGAATAACAGTAGATGTTTAAAGAACTATAATAATAAACACTTGTAAACTTAAGTGTTCAGCCACTTAACTGTTGCGTACTTTTTACTGGAAACTAAGTATGAGGTTTGATACCAGAAAAGGTCAACAACGTGAATTACTAAATATTTTACAAACTGACACAGATGATTACTCATCGTTCCAATGGCTATAACTAGAGTTAGATGGTGGATTTACATAGGTCCAACTTCTCCTAACATACAGAGCTGTTCGGTAAGAAAAATAGCAATGCCAGTTACAACGGGCAGGGTACGAAGACTGTATGTGGTCCGTTCAACGGATTAAAAACACTTTAATTGACGTATGTTTTCTGACCATGAATTTTTAATTGTAAATGAGATCCATGTACTATTCATTTATTAGGGATGATATGAGTGAGGAGTGTCCATAGATAACGAATTAACAGATAACTACTTTCATCTGCAGAAGCTTGTCATTGGCCCAACAACGCTAACTTCAGTATTCACTAACGGACAGGTATAATGCTTAACAAATCACAGTAATGTACAAATCTTCTATTACTTACTCACTAAAAACAATATATCTTGTTACCGAACTGATTTGCGACATTGTTTTTTTAATTACTTAATATCCTTTATTTTACTTTTGATTCTTTGACTGGTTTCTTGACAGAAATAATATCTTAATTCATAATAATTAGTATTGTTAATTTTAACCCCATATTCTGCACAAATTTGTGGTTACTCTTCACCACATTACGTAGATAAATTGATTTCGAAACCCGATTGCAGGTATACAACTGACAAATAATACAGGAAACTTTTCCACTGTTTTTTGCACTAACGCCTTGATTAGATTTGTTGAAGAAAACATATTTTTACAAAGAACGATATTCAACCAGGATTTCAAGTATCTACATACTTGAAGATACATTTCCAAAAGGTTCCTTAAAGTACTATGAGAAGTTTTGATAGGTTCGTACCATACTCAGTGATACATTCAGCCAAGGCTTATGCTCACTTTTCACAAGGAGACTTTGCTGTCTCACAAAAAGTATCAGTGAAAACTAGTTTCTATTTTAAATGAGCTGCATTCAAATAGTAGATAGCTTAATCAAAGCATCACAAACGTACTGATACTTAGTACACACTATTGAGAAAAAATATTATTAAAGAGGTTGAACAAGATTTAATTTCGCATACCAATGGAGAGTGAACAAAAATCCGGCGGATCCTGAATCCATTTTAGCTTAGTTAGGTCTAAACATTTCAGTGACTACACATATTTTTGGGGAAAAAACTAGGAAAGGTATATTTATTATTCTTGGAAACATATTAAACTGATGTAGCTTTAGTATAACTACTGTTGTATAACACTTATAGGAAAGCTATAATCTTCAGAATAGATATTCAAGTGAAATATTTTGTATAGATTTCGGAGTCATTTTCAGTTTCCTTGAATAAAAGTACACGTATAAACGGATAAATACATTAACAATCCAACGCTAATACTTATCTTACTTTGAAAAAATTATGATACATGTAGTAATGGTAAGATTGTGGATGATCGTGAGACAATCCCAAATACTCGTCCATATTGAAGGTTTTCACATACCGAAAACTAAGTTTGCCATCATGATGAAATTCAATTAACCGCTTGTACATACCCAAAGGAGTTGAACCGGTTGGAAGACCAAGAACAAAGTATCTCGATTCAGATGGGCTGAAGTCAGTTATCTTTTTCATTACGTATTTAGCAGCCCATACTGCAACTTCTTCAGGATCTTCAAGAATCAGTAGACGCATAATAACTAGTTAGCCTATGTACAACGTACATAAAAATCGAAAAACACATGTTCAAACGTAGAAAAGGTATTAACACGTTATATACTCTTTTTACCAACGATCATTCCAAGAAAATGTGAAACATTGATATTCTACTGTGCAAAGTGTGAACAACTAGATAATATTTTGCAAAAAAGCTGATAGCACCAATTTCCGATTTATGGACTGACGCTGGGACAAAATGCCAACCACGTTTCAAAGATCAATACAGTTGTATATACAAGCCCAAATTTTTATAATGAATTAATTGGTGTCATTAATAGGAAAGTCACATGAACTTCTAATGCCTAATTAAATGCGATAACGTGTCGACACAACTAACAAAAGCACAGTTGCGGTTCTACTCCACTTGTAAAGGTAATTTCTTTTCTATTCTAACCGGATTCCACAGTGTATGTACGGAGGATAAGTAAGTCTTTTCTGTCGGCTGTAGAAACACAAATCACATGCTGATTGCTGGTCTAAACTGGATGGAACACCGAGGAATCGGCACCAACACGGCGACAAAAACTATAGTTAACTTGAGATGTTTCTCTGACATATTTCACATATATACTGAAGACAAGAGATATGAAGAAAAACCCATGAATGATATCAATACTACTCACATTGTTGTACACAATTAGGCACCCGGAATATATCTTTAAAATGCAGGCGTACCTGACAATGAGGTTATATACATATATATATAGCGCGTCTAAGCTTACTGCCCGTCCCAAGCCGGAGTAAACAAGGAGGTTAGGTCATGGTGTCAGTAACCCCATCCTGTAGAAAACAACCTTACTAAAACTCGCTAACCAGAATATACAATTTAAGCCGTTTAAACTCGGTTCTTCGAGTTGAAGGATGTTCATTCGGAAGAATTATGACGCCTCATAGTGAAAACCGAGATTCTCCTGAAGTCATGAGGTCGATCTCCCTTCAGACAATCAGAGCAACAACCAGTGTGAGTACGTGGAATGTCCGGACAATGTGACAGAACAGGAGGACCAATCTAATAGCTGTGAAAATGAGGAGATACAACTTGGCAGTTCTCAGAATCAGCGAAAACCATTGGACCGAAGCTGGACAGATAAGATTAGATTCGGTTAAGATGCTGCTGTATTTGGGACACGAGGACAGAAATGCCCCACACACTCAGGGAGTTGCTCTGATACTGTCCAAATGAAGACACTTATAGGATGGGAATCTCATGAACCCAGAATCATCAAAACATCCTTCTAAACAAAGAAGTAAGGGATCACAGTGAGTGTTACCCGATGTTATGCATCCACCAATAACAGCAGTGACGATGACAAACATCAGTTTTACGACAGTCTACAATCGATCATAGCGAAACAATCAGGAAAGAAGCTGATCATACTGATGATAGACATAAACGCCAGGGTCGTAATGGACAACACCGGGTATTAATATATCATGGGACGATACGGGCTGACTGGGAGAAAGGAACGAGAATGGCGAAAGATTTGCGACTACAACTATCATTTAAAAAACATATAGATATATATAAAACAGTTATCTACGCAAGATTCGCAATGTCCGTTGACAGGATACCATCAGCAACAGTCTACTGGAGGATAGAACAATCCAGCTTTCAGTTGAAGAAGATACTAGGAAAAGACACTGGAAGTGGATAGGACACACGTTGCGGACATCACCAAACTGCGACACGAAGCCACCGCTAGCTTCCTGAAGGGAAATGGAAAAGAGAAATACCAAGAAACACATCGCGTCGGGAATAGAAAGCAGACATGAAAGGTACAAATAGCAACGATACGGGCTGACTGGGAGAAAGGAACGAGAATAGCGAGAGATCTACAAATTTATGTACATTCAACAAAATGGTTATAGGCGGCACAACATTTCCACACAAACGCATACATAGAACTACGTGGGTATCACCGGATCACACTACAGAGAATCAGATCAATCATATTTGCGTCAGTAGAAAATTCAATAGGTCAACGGGAGTCGCGAGAACCAGAAGAGGAGTTGACATGGCTTAGGATCATCACCAGGTGATTGCCAAGATGGTACTGAAGCTAAAGAAACACTGGACAGCTGCGAAAAAATACATTACAAAGGCTCAATACAGCCTTCCTTCAACATGCTGAAAGACTCAACGATTTCAAGACAACTCTCAATAAAGGTTTTAATTCTTACAAGATCTACTCAAATAAGAACAAACTACTACGAAGAACAACTGCGAAAGGATAAAAAATCACTAAACCCAACGTATCAGCAGGTTCTGGGTCGCAACAAGCGTCTTCACAAGGAATGAATAATTGGACAAATTTCAAGATAGGAAGAACACGAGGACTAACCAACGACAATTGAAAATGAACAGAGAAAATCAAGACACAAGCTGAATGCACAGAAGCAAAGAAGCACGTGAAGAAGAGCATTGGATCCAACAAGCAGAAATACATGGAAAGACGGAGGAACAGATGGGTGGTACACTTCGAGCAACTCCTAAACAGACCAGCTCCATTGAACCCACCAGACATCGAAGCAGCGCACACAGACCTTCCTATAACTGTCACTCCACAGCGATCGAGAAAATCAGGATGGCCATCAGACAAATCAATAGTGAGAAAGCAGTAGCACCTAACAGTATTCCGACTGAAGCACTCAAGTCAGACACGGAAGTAACTGCAAACACGCTCCATATCCTACTTAGGAAGATTTGAGAGGAAGAACAAGTGCCGACACTGGTGATCTGAACAAGTATGAGGACTACAGAGGCATCACATTACTGTCAGTACAAGGAAAGGTTTTCAACATAGTGTTGTCGAACCGTATGAAAGACTCCGTAAACGCTCAACTTCGAGATCAACCGCCTGGATTCCGTAAGGATCGGTCGTGCACAGACCAAATCGCGACACTACGAGTCATCGTTGAGTAATCAGTTGAATGGGACTCATCATTATCCATCAACATCAGTGACATTGAGAAAGCATTTGACAGTGTGGATAGGAGAACCTTATGAAACCTTCTTCGACACTATGGTGTACCTGAGGTCGTCAACATCATACGGAATTCGTACGAAGGACTACACTGAAAAGTCGTGCATGGTGGACAGCTGACAGACACATTCCAAGTGAAGATCAGTGTCAGGCAAGGCTGCTCACTCTCTCCCCTTCTCTTTCTTCTGGTGGTTGACTGGATTATGGAGACCTCAACAACTGATAGAAAGCACGGACGGCTCAGAGCCAATTAGACGACTTGCACTTCGCAGATGACCTAGCTCTTCTACCCCACACAAACCAACAAATGCAGATAAAGATAACCAGAGTGGCAGAAGTCTCTGGATCAGTAGAGCTCAACGTACACAATGGAAAATCAAGATCCTTAAATACAACACGGAGAACACTAACCCAATCACATTTGAAGGAGAAGCTCTGCGAGAGGTGGAGACTTTCACACATCTGGACAGCATCATCGATGAACAAGAAGGATCTGATGCAGACGTGAAGATGAGGATTGGCAAAGCAAGGGCAGCATTCCTACAGTCGAGGATCACCTGGAATTAAAAACAACCGTCACCCGAGACCGAAGTCATAATCGTCAATACAAACGTCAAGAAATTTCTATTGTGCAGAGCTGAGACTTAGAGAACTACTACAATCAATATGAAAAGTGTACAGGTTTTTATAAACAGCTATCTACGCAAGATATTCGGCGTCCATTGACCATCAGCAAGAACCTACTGTGGCAGGGAACAAACCAGTTCCGACTGAAGAGGAAAGTAGGAAAAGTCACTGGAAGTGGATGGAACACACATTAAAGAAATCATCAAACTGCATTGCGAGGCAAGCACTAACTTGGAATTTCGAAGGGAAAAGAAAAAGAGGAAGACCAAGGTACACATTACGTTGAGAATCGGAAGCAAACATTAAAAGAATGAATAGCAACTGGAAAGTATTGCTCAGGACGAAGTACGATGGAGAATACTGGTGGGCAGCCTATACTTCACAAGGAGTAACAGGAGTAACTAGCGAATTTCACTGCAAGGATCTCGGTTGATAGCTGTACTTAAGCTGTCATAATAAAATGTAGAATGTCATATTAAGTCCTATCGTGTTATTATGGTAAGTCAAAGGGATACGATGACAATAGTAACTAGTGTCGATGTACAAGTGATCAGGCTTTGATTGAGGTTCAAATCTTGGGTTGTTCTTAGTTGTATTTGTGGAGAGTTGTCAAGTCACATTGCATAACGAGATGGGCACTAAATATGAACCCACCGTTTGGTAAACTGAAGTCACTAAACCAACAAATATTACCATTCCACCTAGAAACGTAGTAGCAGAATATTAATGACATGCCACTTCACTGAGCAGCAGTTGGATTGAACATAACACTTAGAATTGGAGTTCAACAGCTCATTTTATTGCCATAATCTCCTGCCATTAACCAAATAAGACAAGAGTGTCAGTGACGAGAAAAGTATTATTTTTCAAACTAGAATGAATACTCAAATGAGTGCAACAAAATCAGAGCAAAACGAATCAGCAAATGTCAACCAGCCACTTAATCAAAGGCAACAAAATATCGGCGATATATAACTATCGGTTAAAGTACCCATAACATATAATCTCGTCGCTTGGATTGTTGAGATGAAAACAGCAACAAAAGTATCAGTGGTAATGATAAGAAGCAGGCATAGAAAATATGATTCAGGGAGAAAGAGTACAGCCGCTCAATAGAAGGCACAAAAAAATTTCGGTGAAACTATGATTTATGGACGAATCAATCAGATTTTGGTGCGAAATCTGTCTAATAGGGAAACTGGGCCTAGTGGAGTGTCTCAGCGTAGTTTTGAGGACAATGTATTCTCTTCTGTTCACAAATGACCTTCCTATAATCATCGGTCTTGTTGTATGCTGACGATGTCAAGATATGGAGTGATGAAAGGTAAAGCTGATGGTTAAGTTACAAAATGACCTGAAGAAATTATCTGGATGGTCTCGAAATTGGCAGTTGCCGATAACTGCTTCCAAGTGCATTGCGATGTCTGTTGGTCACAAAGGTACAGACACAGTGAATAATATTCAGCTTTCTGTCGTCCAGACACACAATGACTTAGGAGTCGTCGTCATCCGAAGAATCAAAAGCCACTGCACACCGCCGTACGACGGCCGCTAAAGGTTTCAGAACCCGATGGTCAATACGTAGAGCCTATAGCTATGTCGATGCTAATATCTTTTTGACTTTGTATACAGTAATTGTTCATCACAAACTCAAGTACTGCATACAAGCAGCTAGTCAGAGAATTTAAGAGAACACTCTACAAAAGTTCTCAAATCCAGAACAAATTACTCGTCAGCTGAACCTCGAATTTTTCACCGAATCACCAATGGATGGAACTACCCCTACAAGTGATTAAAGCTACATTTGTTGACGCTTTCAAGAGGAAGTTGGACCAACTGGGAGACCACTATTTTCAGGGCACTTAGCTTCCTACCCTCTCCCAAACTGAGTTATGCTTGTGAAAACGGACTTTAAAATAATGAGTTGGGGTCACATTCTTGTCTTCAGGATATAAATGGTGACAGTGATCACCACCCTCCCGAAAAGCAAACTCACCGATACAATCGAGTGAAGGAAGACAATGTCAATTATTCACACATACTTCACCCCAAGTAAATTTATACTTTAGGGTTTAAATACTGCGGCTGACAATCTGGATTTTTGGCGTTTCAATGACTACATGTTGTTGTGTGGTAGTATTTTGTGTGTACATACCAAAGATTTAATTCGTAGATATGTGTGCGTTTCATGGTCGGCATAACCATCATAGATTTATTTCAACGTAGCAATTGTTGGACATGGAGATACATTATGGAAGTGATTCTCTGTGCAATGAATACCACGTCCAGTTCCACCAAGAGTGAATTTCGGCTAAGAAAGCTCACTAATAACTTCCACTTAGTGTATGCAATAAGACAACCTTAGGCTGTGAATCTAGTGTATACATGCTTCGAAGCACTTAAAGACGTATGTACACAAGTTGTACGCATAATCGATGGTAACGAACAGGCCATATCGACGAAACCCATTGTTCTAGTTGACCATACTAATGCTTCTAGATGTTCGGGATCGTAATTAATACCCGGTTTTACATAGATTAATTTATACGGACATCAACTTGTTCTTACACTGTTACGGTAGGGAGATTGTACCGTGCGATCTTACTTTACTGTGAAACGTAAGGATAACTATTGCCGTCTACTATCTGTAGTCATTCGAACCGTCTACCAAATGCTTCAACCTTGAACTCAGTGTTTACAAATAGGTGAAATTTGATGTCATTAAACTACCTAGAAATCACACAGCAGTTACTTTCACTATCATTAAACTGATTTCGCCAAGCTTTTATTTCAGTATACACGAGTAAGACTGGGCGTTTGACATCATATGGCTACATAGTTGGATAAAGCAATGACTCTTGTTTTTTATCTATGCTCTTTCGTCAAAGATCAAGGTTCCTGTCTGTTCTCTGCTCTTAATGACGTACTTTTCGAAAACTAGAAGTCCTTTCTTCATCTTCGCTTCTAAAGTTTTGTTCATGTAGTGAGTTTGGGACAATTTTTCTTCACTTTAAAATTATCAGGACTCAGGCGCTTATTATCTATACCTATAAACATTAACATAGATAAATGATACATACTAGTTGTTCGTTTCCGACACACTTGTTCATCGAACGACGATTCGAAGTGAGTGGTTGTAAATTACGAGATACTCATGCTACATGAATGTAGTACATGAACGTGCACTTTCTGATATAGTTCCATCGTTAACCACTTTATTTCCTAGTTACGTAAAAGTGCTCGAACTCATGTAATATTTATTACATGATAGTAGCAGTTATTTACAATAATATGAATATAAACCTATTAACTGTGCAGACACTGGATATCTAATCACGTTTTATGAGAACATCACACTTGTTTTCTCTTGATTAGTAAAGGGAACTAGCCTCACGAATTTGCCAGGAGTCTAATAAAAAGGCAAATACACGGTTAGTCAAGTAAAGCAATATATGCATACATAAAACTGGAAAATATATGCTAATATACACGATTCTTGTGTTCTTGACTAACGTTTATTTTTTTACTTCTTTTATTTCAGAAAAGCTGATGTTCATAAGTCTAATGTTTCATGGCGGACTCTTGTGGTAGCATGGTTTCGTGTTTATCTTTTAGATCTCGTTTATCAATCACTTTTATTATTTATTAACCAAATCCCGACGAAGTATAAATTCGGGAGGCAACACGACTCGCGAACTACTGTTTATTATTGGATACCGCAGGCAACAATCTTAGAAGCAAACTAAGCGAATTTAAGTAGAAAGGCCAGTGCGACTAGCAGATTCCAAGTCAAATCAAATTTAATCAATTGGTAAGATTCAAGCATATATATATACGAAGGGAAGAGCGGTTCATCTAGCGATATCTAAGCGACTAACATTTAAGGTAGAGTAAATAACATGTGCGTGGGCTGCCACATGTGATCGACCACATATGTTCGCACAGATATCATAGTAATAATAGTAGAACAAAGATATGAACGAATAACACTGTCATTTGAATAAGTTAATTGAAGAGCTTCAGAGAGCTAACCGCAAACGGACTTAATTGTAGGAGAGGTGCTATAATAATTCCTGCTGCAAACAAAGATAGATTCAATAAGTAATGAATACATATAATATACAGAAATGAAATAGTACTTATCAGGTAGTTACTTTACGTACTATATGTATAATGACACCTCCTATCCCTCAAAGTGGAGCACAAGTCGCTAACCAGTATATTCCATGAAAAATGTATTGAAAGTAGCGATAAATAAATCCTCAAAATCAATAGCGTTGTAAGTCGTCGACATCGGATGCTGACCACATTAATTTTAATGGACTCACATAGCTGAAGGCGCTCCGCCATACATCCGCAACAGATCACGAGTAAGAACGTCGTGCTCAACAACTTCTGCAGTCACTAGCCAGATTAGATCAGACGATCCTCGATATATTGATAGCCTATCAAATATATCTTCGAACCTCCTCGCTTCTGTCTTTCGATTTCACTTTTTGGGTACTATTTGTAGTAGGTGTTACTGGTTAGAGCGTTGTCGAATTCCAAATACCTGTGGTATTTTCATTGGGGAGCCTGATGTGATCTAGTACACCAACTTGCAATCTGTGAGTCTGTTTCTTTTGGAATTTTATGTACCGTTGCTTTCTTTTAATTTTTTATATTGTAATATTTTTTCCCATGTTTTTGGATATATATATTTTTCCCTGTCCATTCTTGTACTTGATATTTCGCCATGACGGATCAAACACTTAAGGCACTTAAGTTAGAGACTGCGTCTACGCCTTCGATTAGATTAATGTCCTTCTGGCCAGACAACATCAAAGCCTGGTTCTGTTATGTAGAGGCCGACTTATACGAGCACGACGTAAACGACACACATACGCAATTCCCCGCAGTAGTCAAGGGACTACCGCGGGAATTCAACAGGTACGTAACACCTAGTATGTTTACTAGGGATGTTTCGGAACCCTACGAAACACTTAAACGCGGAGATCTAGCCGATAGACAAAGGTTAGATCAACTTCTTAATAACATCGACCCGCAACACGTTTCTGCGACAGACATGTTGCAAAGAATGAGAGATGTGATTGGCCAAAGAACTTTCGATGATGGCCTATTCAGACAGCCTTTCTCATCTAAATTTCTTCAACGGGTTCGGGCTATGCTGGTCTCGTTTCAAAACACCACCTTTAACGAGCTGGCTGTATCTGCCAACCGCATCTTAGAAATCGCCAGCGCGACACATAATGAAATAACGGAATTATGTCATAAGTTTAAGCGTAATCTCAGATTTCGCAATGACAGAATAAGGTCACATACCCCGCGAAGAAGCACTTCAGGTAAGTGATCTGTCTCTAGACAACGAGAGACTGATAACTCCGACTGGTTTTTTTATCATAACCAGTACGGAAGATCCTCGCGAAATTGCACAAAGCCCCGCAACTTTCCGAACCGAAGATCGATCGACACGAATAATAATTCGGGAAACTTTCAAACCGGCACGCGCTAACGGTAACTGTAGCCGGCAAACGCGAACGTCTGCTATACGTCGCAGATGTGATAACGAACGTTCGCCACCTCGTCGATACTGGTGCAGAAGTTAGCGTTCTTCCAACGAATTCTAACGAACCGGTTTTGAAGTTACAGGCGGCAAACGGAAAGCCAATCGCCACATATTGTGAAAAGCACATTTACCTTAACGAGTGTTTACACAAACCCATTTACTTGATCTTCGTCGTTGCAGATTTTTCTATGCCAGTCATTGGTACAGACCTCCTACAACACCACAACCTACTCATCGATACGCGCAAACGGAGGTTAGTAGACGGAAACACCAATTTGTCCGTTTGCGTAACTTCCTTTTCCGGTTGCAGACTATCTCCAGTCACAGTTATGCGCATGATAAACCCATTCTATCAACAATTACTCGATAAGTACTCTGGGATATATCAACCGCAACCGAAATTGCCGTGTGTAGTCAGCAATCTTACATATCACACTACGTCTTCAGGACCACGTCTATTCTCGAGAGCGCGCCGACTGCCTCTCGAAAAGCTGAGGTTGGCCAAAAACTAATTCGACCATATGATGGAATTAGGAATCATTCGACCGTCAAGCAGGTCATGGGCATCTCCGTCAAACACGGTCCATGAAAAGGACAACAACGATTGGTGTCTAACTGGTGACTATCGGCGACTGAATGCGAAAATCTTTTCCGTTTGTTACCCGTTGCCCCACATTCACGACTTGACAGCTACCTTGAAAGGTACAATTGTCTTTTCGAAAATCGACTTTAATAAAGTCTATAACCGGATTCTCATGGCACTGACGACATTCCGAATACCACTATTATAACTCCTTTTGAAATTTACGAATTTTTGCACATGACTTTCGGCCCAACAAATCCTGCCCAAACCTTCCAGAGGTTCACAGATGACGTTTTAGGAGGTCTCACCTTCGTAAACGCGTATGTTGATTACTGTTTGATATTATGTTTGGACAGAGAATCCCATCTCCAGTATCTGCACCTTGTTTTCGGACGGCTGCAAAAGCATGGCATTACTCTTAACATTCAGCAGTGTCAAATCGGAACAGACTCCTTAGATTTCTATGACACACTATTAATGCTTCAGGCATCCGACCTCTAAGAAGCAAAGTGACTGCCATTCTGTATTATCAAGAACCGACCACCATCAAGCAATTACGCACGTTTAACGGCCCTGTAAGTTTCTATAGACGGTTTATACCGAAATGCGCGTCCCTTATGAAACCTCTGACTGACCAACTTCGCGGAAATGCGAAATCCATGAATTTGGACGATATGGCGCGAAAAGTGTTCTCCACGATTAAGGAACTTATCTCTAAAGCAACAATACTTGCACAACAGGACACTCAAGCACCCCTTAGTATCGCGGTAGACACATCCGACTCGGCACTCTGGGGAGTCTTACATTAATGGGTTAACCACTCCTTGAAACCTTCGGCATTTTTCTCCGGACGGTTGCTAGACACCAAATCTAAGTACGGCAATTTCTGTTGGGGACGGCTAGCTTTGTATTGTGCTGCAGGGCATTTTCGACACTAAACAGATGAGAACAGGTAAGGAAACCTTACTGTGACACAGCTACAGGTAAGGATTGTCCAATTTCGCCAAAACATTATCGACGCAATGTCTTCAATACATTGCACAAACTTTCTCATCCAGGTTTTCGTGCAGCCATCAAGCTTATAGCAAAACGCTTTTGCTAGCCTGGTATGAAAAAATGCGTGATGGAGTGGGCACGCTCCTGTGAAAGCTGCCGAAAATCTAAGGTTATCAGACATAACAAATGTCCATTAGGCTCTCTCAAAACTACTGACGCTCGTTTCATCCGGATTTGGCAGGACCCTTACCATGTTCAGATGGATATTCTTATTTTTTAACCTGCGTAGACCGTTTTGCTTGATGGCTAAAAGCAGTACACATCAAGGGCATTACTACTAAAACAGTGGCTGGCGCCTTCGTGAAACGATGGGTACCAAACTTCGGCTGCCTTTCAACCATCACTACAGATCACGGACGCCAATTCTAATCTGAACTTTTCCGTC